TGGTCTCCAAAAGACATGAAATTCTGTGTCAGGAGAAATGGTTTTAGAGGTTTAGGAGAGAGCCAACATGTTACTCATCTTTGTACCCCCATTATCTTCCAGAGTGGCCAGCATAGTAAACTGTAATAAACATAATAAACCAGCATAATAAACATTTATGTTAAATGAATGAATGGATGGAATAGTCATCTCATGGATTCAGGTTCTAAATAATTTCCACTAATATTCTGGGGTCACTTAGAAAAAAAAGATCCCATTTCAATAGTTTGTTCTAGTTACTATTAAAGAATACTGACGGCCTTATGTAGGTGGCCAGTCTTTTCAGCAGTTAAGAATTTTAGCTATCAGATATTAAGAATGCCTCCAACCCCTCTGAGAAAAAAAAACTTCCGTAAAGACAGTGCGTGTTCCCTTTCTTGAAATATCTATAAAAGAGCTCGGTTGGGGCGCCTGAGTGGCTCAGTGGGTCAAGCGTCTGCCTTCGGCTCAGGTCATGATCCCGGGGTCCTGGGTTCGAGTCGCACATCAGGCTCCCTGCTCAGGGGGAAGCCCGCTCCCTCTCCCACTCTCTCTCCCACTCCCCCTGCTTGTGTTCCCCCTCTTGCTGTCTCTCTATCTCTCTGTCAAATAAATAAATAAAATCTTTAAAAAAGAGAGAGAGCTCGGTTACTGCATGCTAAGTTTTTCAATGACTAACTTGGAGCCTCTCAGCCCCAGCGCTGTTGACATTTGAGGCTGGATCATTCTCCGTAGGGGACTGTCCTGTGCAATACAGCAGCAGCCCCACATGCCCCATACCTAGGCACCAATATGACAACCACAATGTCTCCAGACACTGCCAAGTGTCCTCCAGGGGAGCGGGGGACAAAATTGCTTCGGTCGAGAATCACCGCTCTGGCCTAATATTAAAAGAAGAGTCATTTTCCTGCATTTTATTCAAAGCTCTGGAAACAGGCTTCAGGGAAAAGTAGATGTCCCACATTTGTCTTTAGCTTATTGTTGAGGACTTTGGCAGGGACAGCTCTATCTATTTGAAACGATTGATTCACAAATCCTCATTATTTTAGGCCAGTTTTCTCCTTGGAACAAGTTTATCTTTGGAGATGCAAATTCACAAACTCTAAGCATCTTTTTTTTTACACTTAAAACTGTGACCTTCTACACTGATTCACTGCTGAATTCCAGTACAAGGGCATTTTTATTTAATAATCTCTAAGTAACATAGACGGGCTAAAGGAATGCTGTACAAGTCCATAATATAGTGTTGACACTAACAGAAGAGTTTTTATCTACTTCATTACAATATTTTAAAAAAATGATCTAAGTAAAACCTGCACTAAAATAAAGTGTAATAATAACCTTTAATACATCCTACTTCAAGATTCTGTCCCTGGAGAGAAAAGTCATCATTGCTTCTGGAATTTACTTCCTGGTATCTAAAGAATACACTAATAATTCTATTTTTTGGTTTATGTTAGATGTTATCTATTTTCTTACCGCTAGTGCATGAGGATTTAGCATTACTTCAACATCCCCTCACTTCTGCTCCTCCATATTCTCAATATGAATATATTACAATTTTTACCTAAATCATCAGTGTTTCACGATGCGCCAACAGTGCTCCAAGACATCCTTGGTGACATCCTCATGCTAATGTCCCCTCTCTTATTGCCCATGCGGGTATATACTTTAAACATTCCTCTTTTTTTTTTTTTTTTCATTTAATGGCATTTTGTGAGGGAGAGTAGATAAAAGCATATGGTCATCACACATTTAACAGGAAACTAAAACTAAAGCTATTTTTGAAAACTTCTAAAAGATTACATTAAAAATCTCAAAATTTTATCGTTAGAAGGCAAAATCCCTATTTCACCCTCACCTCTTGCATTTAGCATAAATGAAAGCTAGGCACTTTTTTTTTTTTTCTAAGAAACAAGTGATGTTAACTAGACGTATTGTGCTGATCATTTCACAAATACATATAAATATCAAATTATGTTGTACACCTTAAGCTAATATGTTATATGTCAAATATATCTCAATAAAAATAAATAAAAGGCAGTTTACCAGAAATACTTCATTTGTTCCCCTTCTGTATACTTGGGACACGGTTATTTTTCCTACTTAAGGATAGACCTGTTCTTCTTTCTTCTGACCTTGCTGAGTTTCCTTTATCTGCCTGGGCCATTGAAACCTGGGAAACATCAGGCAGCCTTGCACCATGAAAGTACATGCTCTTGTTCCATGAGAAATTATTTTGTAATAAATGTCTCCTGTACCAAAAAAAAAGTATAAAATCTGATTTTTTTCATAAGAAATTATTTTTGTATCATCATTAACAACCAAGAAATCAGGACCACCCAGATAACAAAAGCAGAGGATGAAAAAAGATACCCTATTAACATGACAGATGAAGATACTAGGTGAGAAGAAATATGTGTATAAGAAAGCCCACAATTTGGAAAATGTGGGAATCAAAGTCAAGCAGTTAATTACTAACAAAGACAGTAACAGTGCTTCTTTTGTCTTTCACAGTGAATGCACAATTAGCACTTAATACTAAGACTGGGGAAAAACCATCTATAATCTACTGAAAAAGACCATCTGCTTCTATAAATTTTGTTCTTCTACACTTGCCAAAAAAAGAGAACATATTAACAAAATAATGGGCCCTGCATTGTTAATTGCTAGGTTGTTTGCAGTTGTGCTGCTGCTATTAGAATTTAATAAGCCATTCCTTCTTCTAAATTAATAAGCAGCCAAGATTATGTAATAGCTGCTTTCAGCTGCTAATTATTTTTCCCATAATTCCTTTCCCTCTCTACCCCCCGCCCCCACCTTTTCTTGGCCAGGAGCACCAGAGACTGCCAATATGTCATCAGCAAGTCTCCTGTCTTCATTTTCAGAACCACAGACCAACATTAGGATCATAACCAATGACTTTAAATTTGGAGGTGGTTAGCTTAGGAACGCTGAGGATCTATGTGCTTTGTACACAAAAAGAGAAAAACAGCACTTGGATTCAGAGGGCAAGTTTTCATTGCATAGTATTCAACCTATCTTTGAACTTAGGTTAATTGCATCTGTTTTGTGTAGTAAGGGAGAAATGGGACATTAACATGTGACTTTGGGGCACATGTGACTGGTTAGGAAGCAGAGAGAAATCTGGGCAGGGGGCCTAAAGACCACGGAAAGCCAGCTCTGTGCTTTGTGTCGGCCACTTGTTTTCCAGTATACATTATCCTACATATCTGTAGGAAATTTTCCTAGCAGTATACTAGTGCTTAAAAGGGGAGGTATTATACATTTTTATTTTGCCAAATAAGGGCATTAAAAATGCTCTCAAATCCCCCTTATATACTATCATAGTTTTATAGACCTTTTCCCACAAAAAAAGAACAATCCCTAATAAAGGATTCCTTTAAATTGATTACATTTAGCTTCGTGAAAAACCTAGCATTTCTTTTTCACTTTGGGCCATTAAAAAATTCTGGCGACTATGTTTGGGAACCTCTGCAAAAAGGGCATAGCGCAATAAAAGCAATTTTCCAGCTTCCTTTTAAGAACCTAGGTGACTGGGGTAATGAATACCATTCAACATGAGAAACCCATGGCTGTTCAAGCAAGGTCACTTAATCCTGTGGGGCTCCCCTTTCCTCATCTGTAAAAGATGAGTCGGGACTAGATGATTCATCCATTCTTTTCATTCAAGAAAATATGGACATCCATTATGTGCCAGGCACAACGCTCAGCACTATGGTTCTTAACAAATCTATCATTTTATAGTCCTCATCAGTCAACTCCCACTTATTAGATGTGTTATATACCAGGCAGTGAACTAGGTTGGGACGAAAAATGAATAAAATTCAAGACGTGCTGAACAGAGGCAAATGGACACGTGGGGATGCAAAAATGAGTAAAATTCAAGATGTGCTAATCAGAGGCTAACGAACATGTGGGTGAAAGAGGGATTCGTTCTTACAGGGTTTGAGGGTGAGGCTTCATAGGAGATATAACATTTGAGAGGAAGTGCATGCCAGGCAGAGCACGTCTTCGGCAAGGTTAACTGGAACCCAGGCGGCTATGGGGTGGGAGGGCGGGGGGCGCGACTGTGTGTGAAGGAAGTGGGATCTCAAAGACGAGATGCTGTCTGGGCTTTTCAGCAGAGAACGGACAGTAATTCATCGGGTCCGCAGCACGGAGGATAGGCGAGGCAAGCCCAGGAAAGAGACACTTGCACAGCTTGGGGCAAAAGGTGTCTAGGGCTGTAGCAGTGCGATAGGAAGGACGGGCTGGATTCCAGGCAGTCTGGAGGCAGAATAATTGCAAAAGGCCCTCTGAACGCGTGCACTAGCTCCACGACAGAGCTGACTTGTTTTCCCCAGAGGTGCAGCACTCTCTCTCTCCCCCCCACCATCAGTACGGACAGTCACGCCTCCCCGCCCCACCCTCTTCGGGCACGGAGAGTTATCGGAGCTCGAACTTGGCTCTTCGCGATCCTGACCTTCCCTGCCCCGCACAGCGGGGTCGACAAAGGGCACCGCAGAACCCTGTCCTCCCACCACCGGAGAGCCGGGGAAATCGCCTGCCCGAGTTCCCAAGGCACACGCAGGAGCGCGCAGGCGCGCCGGCCTTGGCAGAAGCCGCTTCCGGGTCACGTGGCCTGACTTCCGGCCCGGACCACCCCTCTCGGGAGGGACGCTGCCAATCGGATTTCTTGGACTGTGCGGTCACCTGCGCTGCCTCCGGTGCCGTTGGCGAAGGCCGAGCTGCTTCCCGCGCGTCTCCCAGCCCGCCCCTCCGCTCGCCGCAGCCCCGGCTCCTCCCTCGTCCGGCCCACGGGGCGGGGTCTGTCGGCTCGCCCTCCCCTCGCCGCCTAAGCCTTCCCTCCGCTAACTGGGTCCCCTCCCCACAGCAACACGGCTTCTCTCCCTCAGCCCGGCGTCAGGGGCTTCCCCTCGGCCGCCGCCACCGCCGCCACCGCCGCCGCCGCCGGCCGAGCCCAGCCGCGCCCGCAGCCCGCGGCCGCCGTAAGTCCCGGGGGGCGAGCGGGGGCGTCGGGGACAGGGAGCCGGGAGGGAGGGCTGGGCGCGCCCTCCACCGCCCCGCGCGCGCCCCGACGACCCCACCCCGCGCCTGGCCGCCCCGGCCCGCCATGGGTCGCCGCGCCCGGCAACTCACTTCTCTCCGCGTCCGCGCCCCTCTCCACTCCGCACCGCGCCCCGAGGATGCGGGGGGCCCCGCGGCGCCTGTGGTTCGGGAATCACCTCAAGTTTTGCGGGGCATTTTCGGGAGGGGCCCGCGGCCGGGGGCGGTGGCGGCGGACGACCCTTGGCGCCCCCTGCGCGGCGGCGAATGCCATTGTCTTCCCCGCTCCTAGCCGGTCACCTCGCCCGGGCTCGGTCAGTGATGGAGTGCGGCCCCATGGGGCGGTGGGGAGGCGTCGGAGACGGCCGGCCCGAGGAACGCTGGCCCTGAGCCCGCTCCGCGGCTGAGCCTATTGTTTTTAATAACCAATCTCGAGGAATTGAGGTGCCCTGTGATTTGCGGCAAAATCAAAGCATTAGTTTTTAACCGGAGGGAAGGAATACTCGTGCTTCGCAACCGGGTATCGTCCCATGTTAGCACGTAATTTATTTTAAAGACTGAATTATTTATTCGTTCTATAAAGTGGTAGGGAGGGGATACGGACAGCCTAGAGCTCAAGCAAACCGCCACCCCTCCAGGTCGTCAGGGTCCTGGAATAGGGGTCTTTTATGCTCAAAAGTTCTGGTAGCGGCTTTACATTAAACGTCCAGTTGATGCTTTACTTGCTGTCCCCCTCCGAATGCCGCTGTCTTAACAGGACTTGTATGGGAGGCACTTTGACGTCAAGAATATCGTTCGTTTGTTTTGTGCCAGTGAAGGCTTTTAAGTGAGGTGTAATAAGCCAATTTTAACTTTAAATAAAGTTAAATTGCCACATCATAAATTTCTAAATATATTGTTGATGCCCGTTTGGATTAATACAAAAAGCGACAATTTCTTAGCGAAATTTAGAGCCCATTTTATTCTAAATTGGCTGTGTAAATTCCCCCACCCCATATTCAGATTTAAGATGGTGCGGTGCATATTAAGAATCGGGCTGGAATCTTACTTGTAGTAACACTGTTAAAGGAACTTACAGCAGTTACAAGGAAAAAAGAAAAAACCTGTCTGAATTCTACCTTTAAATTACTTTTGTATAAACAATGCTTACCTGTTTGCAGTTGGGAAGACCAGTTAGTTGGATTACAAGAAGCTTTCCTTTAAAATTAAACATGTAAACTAATAAACAGATTTGAGGTTCCAAATACATGTATACAAAATAGTTTAAGTAAAATACAAATACACTCTCATTCAGCATCCACTCCATCTGTAGATGCCTTTTTAAAAGATTGTTTTAAATGAGGTATTTTGCATAATGTCTCTGCATGTGTGTGACTCTAAATTTTGGCTTTTTAAAGGTTTATATTCTCCTTCATATTGTTACATTAACCCACTTCTTTATTGTGTGTATATTTATGTTGGAATTTTTAGAAAGTGAAGATGAGAAGAGATACTTAAAAGTCGGGCTTTTATTAAGAAAAATGTGCATTTATGGTTTTTTTTGTTGAATATTTTAGATCTTTTGTTTTGCTTAAAATACGAAAGCATAAACTGAAGAGGGCATTCTGAGTAATAGCAGTCTGAATACAATTCAGCCGGCAACTGGAACAGCCTCAGGATGAAAAATAGTTGTAGATCTGCTGTTTCTTTCAAATGTATCTAAACCAGTTGATGTCAACAATTCTCTTTTGAAGCATACACAGAGTGTGAAATGTAGACAGTAGTTGTCTTAAATTGCAAGAGTTATCTTTCTTTTAACTCAAAAATTTCACTCCAGCTTTTTACCTTCTTTTGTTTGTTTCTGTTTTTGTTTTTTTTGCCACACACTACTCTCCAAACTTACGTGGAACGGGGTGGGGTGGGGTAGGGTGGGGAGATCTGCATCTGGTAGGAAGGTCTTTCTACAAGAATTTTCCTGCTATTTTAACTGGCATAGAAATACTGATAGCTGCTAATCATTTGACAGTTAAAGGCCCTGCCCCCAAAGCTTCTCTATGAACCGTGTCATCTTAATCTTTACTGAATCAAAGTGTTGCATGTAATCTTGGTTCTATTTATCTTAACAGATGCAGTTTATGTTGCTTTTTAGTCGTCAGGGAAAGCTTCGACTGCAGAAGTGGTATGTCCCACTATCAGACAAAGAGAAGAAAAAGATTACAAGAGAACTTGTTCAAACCGTTTTAGCACGGAAGCCTAAAATGTGCAGCTTTCTTGAGTGGCGAGATCTGAAGATTGTTTACAAAAGGTATAATTTTCATTTATCAGAAAGGTGAAATAGGATCAAATGTTCAGTCATTTATAATGTGGTAATGGCAGACTTTTGAGAGATGACATTTATAAATGATTAATAAAGATTTAAGTGAAAAAGGTTTAAGTTAAAGCTTTGTGTCTTTAAAATAACTGCTGTTTTTATTGATTACCCAGTCAAAAAAATAAAATCAGGAAAGTCAATTTAAAACTAATTATGTAATTAAAGGCATAAATGATTATTCCTACTTAATCATCTTTTTAGAAAAATTCAGTCAATTTATTTGCAGGTGAAAATGGGGTCATATTTTAAATGTTGTAATTCTCTGAATTTAGACAAACCTTTCTTGAAAATCTATACAGTAATGACTGATAGTTGACATGCCTTTTTTCTGACTTTTAGAATCTTATGAACACCTTGGATGCAGATACCATTTCAGTCGTATAGAGGTTTTGAAACTTTATATATATAAGATCTCTTTGTCAGTATTTATTAATTTGAAGTACACTTGTTGCTGTCATGGAGGTATAATTAGATCTGATAGATAATTTTGCAAAGAATAGATTTTTAAATTTTTGATATTGCAAAATGACTCACATACTTTGAACACTAAACTTTAAAAAATGTACATCTTTATTAATATCTGAAAGTCTTTTAATGCCCTAAAATAACATTTCTTAAGATTGGGCTAATCAAGGGTTAAAAGAAATATAATTACTTTGTTTCTTCTCCATTTTCCTTCCGTTACAAATAATTTACTGTATTTAAGAAGAGTGTTTCTGCATGTAAAAAATTGTCTTCTGTAGGGGAAGTGCAGAGAACTAACAGTATGGGCTGCAAGGAGGGTTGAAGAGAAGTCTGGGTTTTATCTGTTTCCTTTATTCCACTCTAGGTGTGGATGGGTTTGTGTGGGGGGGGTGGAGATGGCAGAGGAGGTGATGGAGATTATAGGACAGAGAATGTTTTAAATACCATAGAACTCCTCTTCCCAAAAGAATAAATTTAGTCATCTTTGGGTGATTTTGGTTTAGTACTTGTTGAGAAAACTCATAGCATTTTAGAGCTGGGAGAGGTCGTGGAATAATCTAGTCAGGTGATTGTTTTTATAAAGCTTTTTGCCCCAAGGTTAGAACCTTCAGTGAAACAAGTGGAAGTGGAGGTGCTCTCATGAAAACAGGACCGGGATCTCATACCTGTGCTCACTTGGCTTGTACCCTCTGCATAGGAGATGGTTCATGAGCTTTAGAACCACTGCTGTTGATTAAATTTCAATTTTATAAAAGGAAGAATTTGGGAGAAGTGACTTGTCCAAGGTCATATTCTAGTTAGTGACTGACAAGGGGGCTAGAACTCCAATCTGAAGCATGGGTCATATTCTAGTGACTGACAGGCGGGCTAGAACTCCAATCTGAAGCATGGGTCATAGTCTAGTTAGTGACTGACAGGCGGGCTAGAACTCCAATCTGAAGCATGGAGGCAAAGGTTTTAAATGGGGATGAAAACAGATATGCATTTCTGAAAGGATCCTTGTAATTGGAGAATGGGAAGGGGGAGGGCTGAGCCTGGCACCTGAGAGGTCTCTTAGGAGACTGCATTATAGTGAGGCCCTGAAGGAAGACCTCTGCTGTGGGCCCAGCAGGTGGAGGGAGCTGTTACTACAGGTAAGTTTTAGACCCGGTCGCTGCTAGAAGCTGGGAGAGCAGTGATTCCACATTTCTGGTTAAGCTGACGGTAAACGTGAGGTAGCAGACACGGTGACTTTGAGATGCCTGGTTTTCTCGGGGTGGGCTTGGAAGTCAGGGCGGAAATAAGGCATAAAGTGGTAGATCACCAACATTCAAGGGGCAGGCAAAAGGGGGAGAGGGAGGCTAAGTTATAGGGTCAGTAACATCAGGAGGAGGGAGAGAGTTTTGAAAATTAAGTCACCTGTGCCAAATGTTGTAAAAACAAAGTGAAGAAAGAATCTATTAGGTTTTACAGTGAGAGTTCATAAAATGCCATTTGTCAGAACATTTTCAGTGAAATAGTAGAAACTCTCGAAGAAATGGGGCGAAGCGTGAAGAGGTGGAGACTTTTAAACAGCAAATGTAGACTATTTTGGGAGCTTCGTCAGATGCGAAGAGGTGGTAACCACCCCCACAGACATAGGAGTAAGGGACCGAGTTTTAAAAAAGGGTGTGAGAGACTTAAGCTTATTTCTAGATAGGGGAAGGAGTCCCCCGTGTGGAGGAGGAAAATACCGGCAAGGGAATCAGTCCCAGGAATTGAGATTCCTGCAGCTGAAGGCAATGGTCTGTTAAAACGGAAGGAAAGCAAGCGCTCATTGTGTTCCCGCACACAGTATTCAGCCTACCCATCTTGGGCCACCACTTTTTCTTTTAAAGGCTATAAAGGGTAATCTAACCTGACTCTGATACTTGTATCAAGCTCCTATAAATAAAAGGTGCACTTAAAAAAAAAAACAGCTTTTTTGAGATAAAATTCACATACAGAAGTTAGAATTTTTAATCAGTTTTTCTGTGAATCTGCCCCCATTTCATACTGAAAACCTTATATATCGTATTTAAGAACGTATTTTTTGTTGATATAAACAGGTGACTTTTCCCCCCTAGTCCAGCTGGAAGAGAAGACCTTTTAAGCAAAAGAATTCTCGCTTAGCTTCTGAGAAATTTTGAACCAGCACTGTCGCTGTTCCTGTCAGCAAGTTATCTTTAGGCCTTCGTTCTTCCATTTGTCTCAGCCACATTCTTCTTGCTGAGCATTTCGCATAATAGTTCCTCCTCTGGGGAGGGGGGGACTTTTGGGGGGGAAAAAAGAGGCTGAAAATCTGGGGACTTGAGTTGTGTTTGGTTTGAGCCCTTAGCTAGTTTCGTGACTTTGAACAGGGCATTTTGTGTGTGTCCTCATCTCTGAACTAAATGCTCTTGAAGATCCCTTAAAGACCTAACACTGTATGCTTTTTTGATTCCGATCTTATGCAGCATGTTATGGAAGAGGCACTAGATTAAAGTTTTACAGTGAATTTAAACATATGTCTTCAAATTACTAGTTTGAGAATTTGCCACAGTACTGTATTTTCTTTACTAACAAAAGAATTTTTAATGCCATACCAGTGGGTATTGAGAATAGTTTAGTTACATTCACACCCAGTCAGCTGACACTTAGCTGACTGCGGAGAAGTCATGTGTTTTGAATAGAAGAATAGGCACTTTCAGATGTTCTCTGAGTGCCAGTAATTAGAGTAAGCCTTAATCCACTCTGCTAAAAATAACCAAACATACCTTTCTTCTTACTAGTCTATTATTAATTTTACTTCAGATTTAGACTTAACAAATATGTACTAAGAGAACAAAATGAGCTCATAATTGAATTTTTAAAAAGCATTTGGTTCTAAAAATAGGGAGTACGCTTCAGGTTCTCTTGGTAATCTTTTACTATTTCAGTATAACAATTTTTCTCTCCCTCTTCAAAGCTCTTAAAATATTGCTTACTCAGTTTTAATTTTTGCCAGGTGCAGGATTACTTTATTTAATACGGTTCCTGGCTATAGTTTTTAATATGAAACTTGGGCTTTGGAGTCAAATTACTATTCCTGGGGAGGTTACTCAATTTAAGCCTGGGTCCCGTATAAATGCAAGTTAATAACGGTATCTTTCTGGAAGAATTGTTGAGGATTAAAATGGTAAAATGGGCAAAAGCCTTAGCAAACATTTGGTGTCTCACTCAAGAGTGAGGCCTCAGTGAATGTTACCTGTTAACTATTCTGTTTCTTCCATAAGCTTTCTGTAGAGAGGTGCCTTAGAATCCTGATAACTAATCACCTACAACAAAGAATTTGTTTAATTGATGGCTCTTTTTCCATTCTGAGTGAAAGCAAACATTTAGGTAGTATTGCAGGATTTTTATATTTATTTACTTATTTATTTATTTTGTATTGCAGGGTTTTTTTGTTTTGTTTTGTTTTTTAAAGATTTTGAGAGAGGGAGAGAGAGAACAAGCAGGGGGAGCAGCAGAGGGAGAGGGAGAAGCAGGTTCCCCGCTGAGCAGGGGGCCCGATGTGGGGCTTTATCCCAGGATCATGACCTGAGCCAAAGGCAGATGCTTAACCGACTAAGACACCCAGGTGCCCCTGTATTGCAGGATTTTAAAAATACTGCTTGATGCTTGGACACATCATTCCTGGTGATATTTATTTTTTATTTTTTTATTTTTTTAAAGATTTTATTTGAGAGAGAGTGCACACAAGCTGTGAGAAGAGACAGAGGGAGAGGGAGAAGCAGGCTTCCCCCTGAGTAGGGGGCCCGATGCGGAGCTTGATCCCAGGACCCTGGGATCATGACCTGAGCGGAAGGCAGATGCTTAACCATCTGAGCCACCCAGGCGCCCCAGTCCTGGTGATATTTGAATTAATGTTTCTAAATGATTCCAACAATTAAGGACAATTGACTAAGTGCTATTTATTTGTAAGTCAAGAGGCAGTACTGTAGATAAGGAGTGAGGATGGTGTAAGCATTAGAATGCTTAACAGTAGCATTGTAGAAATGTTGACATTAAGAGTAAAGGAATTTTACCCAAAACTATTAATAAATTCCTTCTAATGGGATTACTTAAATAGCACTCTGTTCATGTCAGCTAGTCATGTCTGTTTTTTATCTACCATTTTTAATGTCAGTTCCTTTAATATTTAGTTTTCTTGATTTGGGGACTTGTAACATGTCATTTGTATCAATTTCCCCAAATTCAAAATTATTTTGTGAGCATGGGTGAGGGAGGATGGAGAGTTGGAATTGCCTTTTTTTTTAAATTTTAATTTTTAAATTATTTTATTTTAAAGATTATATCTATCAGAGAGAGAACGCACACAGGCAGAGGGAGAAGCAGGCTCCCCACTGAACAAGGAGCCCAATGCGGGCAGGAGTCTGTAGGACTCGATCCCAGGACCCTGGGATCGTGACCTGAGCCAAAGGCAGACAGTTAACCGACTGAGCCACCCAGGTGCCCCTAATTTTATTTTTTTAGAGAGAGAGTGAGCACGCATGAGCAGGGCTAGGATAGGGGGTGACAGAGAGAGTGATAGAATCCCAAGCAGACTCCATGCTCAGCGCAGAGCCCGACACAGGGCTCAGTCTCCAGACCCTGAGATCATGACCTGAGCCAGAATCAAAAGTTGGACGCTTAACTGAGCCACCCAGGTGTCCCCCCCCGCAACTTGCCTTCTTAAACAGATATACAAAACCATAGGTTAGGAAAGAGGAAGCACTTTGTTAAAAGTTGGAGGTGGTGCCCTCATGTCCTTCATGCTGATAAGTGAACACATTCGAAAGCCTCCTAAGACTGCAGGAGACCTACCATTTTAAATAACTTAATGTATAAGTCAGGTAGAATGGACATGGCAAAAAAGTCAAGCTGTGTATGAAGAGGGACTCCCCAAGGTGGAGTGGGAGGGAAAAGGTCTGAAGATCAGATTTCTTATCCCAGAGCAACCACTTGGCAGACCCTGTACTCTTGGGCCTTGTTTTTTTTCCTTCCCCCCCCCCCCCACCATCAAGAATGATGGTGCTTGCTGTTGGAAAGATCAAATAATTGATCTTTATTTGATCAATTTGATAATAGAGCATTCTGTAAATACTAGTTATTCTCATACTGAAGAGCAGGAATTCATTGAATTCCAAAACTGAGATTGTGTGTATTATTTTCTATTAATGCTTTAAGTAGTAATTGCTCATTGTGTTTTCTAAAAATCACTTAAATGCTCCTCAGTGAAAATTACAGTCGAAACTGAGACTTGTTTAGAATGTCTTAGGTTTTCTGTTTGTTTGTTTGTTTTTCCAAAAGCTTTTAATACACTTAAACCATTTGAAAATGCTCTTTTAATCCTCCTCAAAAGACTTGATCATTGTTTGCTATGCCTCAAGGTTGTATGTTAAGTTTGACTTCCTTGGGTCAAGTATAATGTAGTCCCATGTGCTAGAATCCTAATTTGGAAGAGAATATGACTTTTCTAATCTTAATATTCAAGAGGTAAATAACCTAAACTTCCATTTAACAGGTAGAACTTGGAAAATTTGATAACAGGTCTCCGTTTCCCCTGTTCTCTTTCTCTAACTTCTGTAATAACTTAGAACTGTTCTTTTCTTGGAGTTGATTCCACAGTCCTAGAAATCTTCTTAAAAACAGTTCTATGCCGTTAGGAGTCAAGATAGTAGTTACCCTTGGGGGTGGCAGGTTGTGACCTGGATGGGTTAGGAGCAGGGATTCAGGAGTTCCATAATCTGTTTTTTGATCAGGGTGCTGGTACACGGGAGGGTTCACTTTGAAAACTCAAGTTTTCTTGTGTTCTTCTCTGCTGTATATATTACTCTTCAACAAAACATTTCAGGCATTGCCTTCACATTGACAATATCTTCAATAAGTCCTTCAGTTGGAGAGTTTATCTTCTTCCCTGTTTACTTGTAGTTTGAATTACACAGTGCATTTTGTTTTAATTAGGTAAACATAAGATTATATTTCATACAATTTAGGACCATTATATTTCATTCATTGTATTTCATAACTGGGTCCAGCTATGTTTTAGAATATTCATAGAAGGCAGCCTGAAAGAAGACCAAAATGAGTTACTCTTTCTACGTTTCTAGATGGTATGATTGAGTGATTGTTTTTTGGGTTTTTTGGCTTTTTGCTTGCCTGTACTTTTCAGACTTTCTCTACATACATTCATTCCTTTTATAGTGCAGGAGGAAAATAATCTATACTATTGTAAAAGGAGAAATAAGCTGTAGAAGTATGGGATCTTTCACAGTAGGATATGAAAACATATTTAGATTATAGAGCAAAATTTTTTCCACATTTGCTTTGTTACAGATACGCTAGTCTGTATTTTTGCTGTGCTATCGAGGATCAGGACAATGAGCTAATTACCCTGGAAATAATTCATCGTTATGTGGAATTACTTGACAAGTATTTTGGGAGTGTGAGTATTATTATTTTTTAGGAAATTGAGTGCCATAGTATTTTTTTAAAATCTTTTCTGTAACAAGTTTATTATTTGATTGTCTTGGGGATTCTGTTTGAAAGTAACTGCAGGGGAGGGAAGGGCTAACTATCTCTTGCCAGCAGGCCCAGTCAGTTAACTGCTGGAATGCTTGACCTGACGACCCTGCTCATTTAATGATGGTTGTGAGAATGAGGTTTAAAATAGTGAAACAGAAAGGAGTTCAACTGCAAAAATTAATATTCTGGAAGTGCTTAGTATAGAATTTAGATTTGGTAAGCAGTTATAATCACATTATTCAGGAAATATGTATTTAAAAAAGATCATTGTTTATGAGTAGAGATAAGTAGAGAATTATTAAGTTGTCCATGGTGGGACCTTCCAGAATCAGGTCTTACTTAGTTTGTAGGCCTTGTGTTTCCAAGTACTTGAGATTTGAAAATTAAGCTGACTAAATCAGTGATGCTTAGTTATTAGCAAGATTGCCAGTTTTAGAAAGAATTAAGATCGATTCACTCTGATCAGATTTTATTCACTACCTGATGGTGGGTAAGTATCTTTTGCTTTCTTCAGTTTTAACATTGTTTTTCTTGCTTTTCAGGTGTGTGAACTTGATATCATCTTTAATTTTGAGAAGGCTTATTTTATTTTGGATGAGTTTCTTTTGGGAGGGGAAGTTCAGGAAACATCCAAGAAAAATGTCCTTAAAGCAATTGAGCAGGCTGATCTACTGCAGGAGGTAAGCTAATTGGAGTTCTCTTTACTAGACGTTAGCATGTTTTGCTATTGCTAGGGAAGTCTCAGTTATGTTCCCTCATTCTTCAAGTTTCAGAAATTACTCTGAAGCATGCTTGGCATGTAGTGTCCATGAGCAGTATATTGTTGGAGTATGTGTCAGTCACATCAACTTAGTTATCTGTGGATGGATTGTTTGCTTTGGAGATGGTCTGTCATATTGATGGCCCATTTTTGGAACCCAAAACACTAGAGTCTAAATGTTTAGAGGACAGACCAAGAAGGGAAAAGATTTGTCCAACAGTAATTTGAGAACTCTCCATTCATTGTTCTGATTACTGCAGGTAACCCCTTTTCGCATTAGTGTGGATGGATAATCAGCTGATTGTGAGATTATGTCATTTTCATCCCAGATGGTTCATATTTTCACCTCATGTCCATTAAGTGCAAATGTAGCCAAGCAAATGATAGTGTTATAATTACACCCTTTGTAGAACTCTCTAGTTTTGTGTTAGCAAAACTAACTAAAAAGTATTTGGCCTTTTCTTTGCTCTTTTTAAAGATTTTATTTATCTATTTATCTGAGAGAGCAAGAGTCTCTCAAGCGGACTCCGCACTGAGCGGGGAACCCAACTCAGGGCTCAGTCTCATGACCCTTGAGATCGTGACCTGAGCCAAAACCAAGAGTTGGATGCTTAACCAACTGTGCCACCCAGGTGCCCCTCTTTGCTCTTTTTAAATAACAAACCATGTTCTGTCAAATGACTACATTCTTATTTTGCCTTGGTATCACAAGAACCATTGATAAACCCCCTTCCATTTCCAATTTCCACAGTTGTCTTCGGTTAATTGAATATTTGTTATTTCTAGACCTCCAGTTTCTGAAGTTTAAAATTTCATAGATAAGGCCATCTTTTTCAAAATACTTAAGGATACCTTAAATCAGATACCAAGTTGCTTTAGCGATAATTGTGATTTTAATCAATTAAAAAGTCTATAGCACAAGGAGGAGCTAGTCCATATAAAACATGTAGTGTGTTTTCATTAAATTAATTCTCTTTTGTTATTAAAGGAGGCATTAAATAAATTTTTTAGCATTTCGATTGTAACAGAAATGTGAACTAAGAAGAGGAAATCTCTCTCTCTTAACTGTGGGCCTCTATGGGAGGGAGGGCATCGGTAATGGCTCTGCATTAGTTACTGACTGGGTCAGTTGTGAGGATTGCTCCAGATTGGGATGACATCATCCAGAACATACATATATTAAATAGGAGACAGTACCTTGTACACGTAATGATCTTGAGTTAACCGAACAGTGGTTAAGATGCCTGCAAAAGTGGGATCTTTTTTTTTTTTTTTTTTAATATTTTACCCATTTATTTGCGAGGGAGAGAGCACAAGAGCAGGGAGGGCAGAGGGAGAAGCAGACTCCCCACTGAGCAGGGAGCCCGATGCGGGACTCCATCCCAGGACTCCAGGATCATGACCCGAGCCTAAGGCAGACGCCCAAGCAACTGAGCTGCCCAGGTGCCCCAAAAGTGGGATCTTTTGTTGGCAGCCCTGATGCTAGCCACTGTCCATAGTGAAATGAGCACAGCCCCTTTTCCATGTGTGTAGTTTGCCACGGTTCTTTATTGACTACAAATACATCATTGGCGAGTTTGTTTTTTTTTTTTTTAACATCTGATAGTGTGACCACAAGCTCTTATTCTCCTATTGTAAAATTGGTTTTAAAGTTAGGACCTCCTTATTTTGCTGTTTACTAATCAGACTTTTCTAAAAATAAGGTCAAACCAGAATCAGGAACTGGGAATTTTTCATATTTGTCTCTTCCCTTGTTCCCTTTTACATTTCATTATTATGGAACTATATTCTGCTCTGTCAGAACCTGGTATTTTCTCCAAGTTCTTCATCATTTCCTGATTAATTATATCTGTCTTAAAACATTTTTAAAGTTCTTGAAGTTCACCTTTTAATTTTGATATATTTTTTCATGGAGAGTAGTGTTTAGGGCACTGATCTTTCCTGTGTCTGGATTGTTTTTTTTTAAACTCTACTGAGCAATTGCTATAGACTTTATAATATGACAGATATACTAAGTTTACTTTATGGCTTGTATTGGGGATAAAAATGTCATTCCAAGTCCATATTTGTGAGTATGTGTGTGTATCTCCCCTATTGAAGTATCTTAATAATAAGTAATATCTCCCTTTTTGAAGTAGTATTTTTGTATCTTTAGGAGAAAATAGGAGTGGAGAGAAGCATGGGATGTCTGTGGTCCACGTTAAGATTTTTCTTTCCCTGTCGCACCCTAGTTTAAAAAAAAAAAAAAAGTTGACTACTGTTAACTACAGTTTCTTATCTTTAGAAGAGACCTTTGGCCCTATTTCTCATCTGTGACTACCTTAACATTGTTTTGTACATAAACCAAAGTGATAGTACATTAGGACATTTTCTATTCAGTGGTCTGAGTGAACCATTTTCTTAATTTAGCCATTCAGGTCTTGAGGAGGCAGAACACAGCTGGTCCATTCTGAATTTAGAGTGAATTATAGTACATGGCAGGTTAAGGCTAAAGTCTCTTTGGGGCAGTAAGGCTTCAGATGATTCTGTTCAGGTTAACCTGTTATTCATTCAGGTATTCTGCCAACATACTGTCACAAATCCAGGGATGACAAGATGCTTGTTTCCTAAAATAGATTCATTATATGTTGATACATGATACATGTTTACATCTTTGGGAGAGTATTTAAATATTATGTTCATAAAATAGGTGGTGGAATAAGATGAGAAAAACTGCTGAATTTCTTTAAAGTTTCCCTTTTACCCAATTTATATAAACATCTTGTGGTTTGTTTAGGTAGTCCTTCATTTTATAGGCAAACAGGGCAGTCAGTCAGTTGATAAAGTAGGTTTTCTATTAGCATATTCTATATAGTCAGTAATGAGAACATGTCTGGACACCATGACAACAAAAAAGAACTATGATGATAGCTAATGCTTACTGAGCACTTAGGTGGGAAGCATCCTGTGCTAATTAATCCTCAGGATGCCCTGAGAAGGATCAAGAGTACCTTTTTAACAAATGAAGAAGTAGAGGCTCAGTGAGGTTCCAGTGACTGGTCCTAGCATTCCAAACCCAGATCTGCTAGGCTTCAGAGCTATGTAAAATCTTGACCACTGAGCACTATCCGTGTCTCCCCCCACCCTATTTGTGTATTGTCTTGGTATGTGTAATTTAAACCTTCTGTTTTTGGTACCAAGTTCTGTGTTTTTCGGTAATGGAGATTTATCATTCTGGAGGTTTTTCTGTATCGATCAGAGTAGATGTCCTGAGACAGATGCCATTTTTTTACCTCTTAATACTGAAAATTTTCATTGTCCAGACTATCAGTAGTTGGTATTTTCAAGTTGGGATGTATAGATACAAATATTTTTAAAATCATTTCTTGTTGGTTTTATCAAAACTGAATTTATAGTAGCTTTTTTGGTCTTATAATTTGGGATACAGCATTCACTTAGCCTATGTCATGAATATGATTTTGCTTCCAAAATTGTAAATATAGCTATAAAGACACTTAACTAAATGCAGCCTTAAATTTGTAGAAGTCCTAACTAATTTATTTTAATCTAGTTTTCTTTGTATTGTGATTTTTCTATTTGGTATCAGCTCTTTTACTTGATTATTTCTAAACACCAATGATGCCTTTGAATTTATAATGAAAATATCTGTTGGCTTAATGATACATGGAAATCGCAAAATGATTTTGATTTTAGTTAGCCCTTTTAAAATTTGTGAAATACACATTTCTGTCCTTAAGAATGTTTATTTTCTTCAGAAAAATTTCTTTAAAATTTCCCTTTTACTCAATTTGTATAAATGTCATGTAGTTTGTTGAGGTAGTCCTTCATTTTATAGGCAAACGGACACAGTCAGTGGATAAAGTAGATTTTCTATTAACATAGTCAGTATGAGAACATAAGTGTATTTGAATAATAATTGCTAAAACATCAGACTTTGTGATTAAATAATAAAAATGCCTTTTTTTACTTTACTTGGTTACTTGGTAAACAGTGGTTCAGTTTTGACATTTCTAGAGTGAATTCTGTATTCTTTTTGGTATTTGGTTCTGTGACTACATAATTAAATTTGGGGATAAAGCGCAGAAGCATTGGTCCATTATCCAATTTTTAATGTTTGTTGGAATTTAACACAGGTTTTCTTAACATGCCACTGGTACTTAACTTGATTCTTAAATTACTAAGTGCAACATGCTGAGATTCCTAAATTGACATTCTGAAGTACTTGGAACATTTCCCCCCCCCCCCCACCAATTAAGTGCCTATTTTAAGCTAGTTTTTTGAGGGGGAAGACTTGGGAGAGTGGTACAGTTCATTTATAAACATAGATCTAATGACCAAGGAAATATAGAGTGCATTTTCTTTGTAAAGTCGGGCACTTACCGGTTTTTCTCTGCTCCTTAATTTTATAGAGCCAAAATGAAGAATGGGGAGGTTTGTCTGAGGATATCTTATGATAAAGAGCAGTCTAAGGCTTTAGTCCCTTTGACCCCCAACTTATTTATTGGTAACTACCAAGTTTCCCATCTTTGTGGCATGGATAAAATGGGGTGTTATGCAAAGACTGTTGCACGTGAGATGATTTCAAGTCCTTGCCTGATCTGTGAAGATCAAATAGTTAAAATACCGGGCGTTGGGCTTTAACCTCAGCAGTAGATGCATGATGGTGTTGATCAGCGCTTTGAGATGTGTCAGCCTTTCTTTTTTATACTAACAGCATCATTTTGAAATTTGTGGGGGTTTTCCTTTTGAGCTTTGTTTGCTGTTGGTATTGTTTCTCACTAAAGTAATCTGAGCAGTGAAAAATAAGTGAGGTACCAAAAGCAAGCATTACACTCACAAATTTGCTTCTACTTCGAGATGATCCACTTTATGAATAGATTCTCTTGGATTTGCAGTTGTTAATCTGCCTCGGCTAGCAAG